AGCTCTGTTGAGGAATAGGCCCAGGAATGAGCTGACAAGCAGGACACAACATCGTGTTTTGTCTAGTTTGTGCTCTGATAATTTTACATTCCTTTTGCAAAGGCTTAGAATTTTGAGAAACAAATTTATGGGGTTGTCTTGCCTTATAAAAATGAAAGCCAGATTTACAGTAGCATCTGTATAATTAGCTGATGACAACAAACCTGGGAGATTAGAGATCTAATAAGATCAAGAAAGAATGTAGCAGCTCTACTTAATACAGCTCCCAGCAATTCTAAAGATAGTTTCAATGAAGTAGGTTTGAGATGACTCAGTTGCAGTTGTTCTCTTACTAGTGTTGATAGAATCCTTTTCATATGCATGCAAATGGCCTTCATTATAAATCCAATTTTATATGTTTTTGCTTAATTAAGAGCAGAACTGTAAGAGTACAGCCCTGCAAGTTTTTAGCTAAACCTTTGCTTTCTTGCTAATCCATCTTAGCCATCATCCTGCTATTTGGTAACATACAATTCTGAGGCTCTGAAGTGAATGAGTGTCGCATTCTTTTAGGAGGTCTATGCACCATAGATTGACTGGAATGGGTGCGATAAATGGTGCCATAATACCTTCCCGCTCATCAAGACCAATGTAGGAAAGAGGCAGCACACTCCTGGAGACAGACTGATGAGATCCTAAGCCTTTCAGAGTTGTGGAGGTGGGTCTAGTTGGCCAAGCAGATGGCCAAGACTGGCTATTGATTATAGTGACATCAGCTCCTGTATCCATCTGTCCAGTAAAAGATTTCCCATTAAAATTAATGTTACAAATAGGTCTAGGAATGAAAATACTCTGGGAAAAATCAAATTCCTTGCTTAAAGGATCATTCCTACCAGGTTCACACATGAGGTTTAAGGACAGGAGTAGAAATTTCAGTGGGAATTAAATTTGGCTTTCCCCCACAACAAATCAAGGCAAAAAGCCACTGGTAAATCTAATTTTGAACTCTGAGTGGTTCTTCATGTGAGACACCTAAGGTCCCACCTTGTACTCATTCTGGGAGTGGGATCATCCTTTGTCTGATTTGAACTGGCTTAACTGGGTCCAAATCCTTGGAGTACTGACTGAGCCTTGTTTTGTTATTACTACTGGGGCCCTCAGCTTGGGTACATGGTTTGTTTCTTGGCAACAGGGTGTCATTTCTAAGAAACTTAGAATCTTTGGCCCAGTAAAAACCTTTCATGCAACATGGACACTGAGCACCGGGTAAATTCGCTGAGGGGACCTTTATAGGCTGTGGGCGGCGCCAGTGGGTATCCTTGCTTGCCACAATTAAAACACTTAACCATATCAAATGTATCAACAAAGTGTTGGGATACAGCCTGTGTCGTGAGTGCAGAAGCCTGGCGGTAGATCCAGTATTGTGGCCCGAATGTAAAGCACATAAATTGTTCATGTGAAGCACTGAGGCTAAGGCTCTTCTACATTTATCACTGGCATTCTCATATGCTAAGGGACGCATAAGTATCCTAGCTGCAGTATTGTGCGAAATCTGCCTATTTACAGCTTCTTGCAACCTTGCTACAAATTGGGTGCAAGTTTTGCTAGGGCCCTGGATATCTGGGTAAAGGATTTTTTTTGGGCAGAACTGGGGATTGAACTCAGGCCCTTGAGTGTGTCAGGCAAGCGCTTAGGGTAAAGGATTTTATGAGGTGTGCCATCTTCTAATACAGAAATCTATGCGTGCAGTAGCAGTTCCTTGCACTGCATGAAAAGGAGTGGGGCCATGCCTTTAAGTCACCGTGTCCTGCGCCAGATAGCATTTCTTGTGCAACTGCTTTAAGATTTTCATGCCCACGATGTTGATTACTCTGTGCCTGTTCCAAAATGAGTGTCTTCAATTGATTCAAAGTGTAGGAATTGTGCCAATGATAGACACGTGCGAGTGAGCGAGATGGGTCACATCACTTGGCGACATTTGGAGGCCTTGAATTGTGTTAGCTAAGCAACCAAGTGTGTAAGGGTCTTGGACACCATTATCTGACACACTCTGCCTTAATTCCTTCAAAAGCAAAATGTTAAAGGCTGTGTGGATGCTGCACTTACCAGCAGGGTGCTCTGGACCTGTGTCCTCAAGGACAGGAAGCACACTGTGCACACAACCTCTCCTCTCTGTACTTTGGCTTCCTTAAGGGCGGGGAAGGAGGCTTGCCCCCAACTCGATTGTTTTGTATGTGGGAGGGAGGGACTGTAGGAAGTGGAGGGGCAGTAAGGAGAACAGTGACAGGATTTTCTACATTTTTAAGACTTCCTTGTTTTCTAGAAGGCCATTAGGCAATTCCTGTCCTAGTGATACAGGGAGAAAAAATGATCTTGGGTGGGTGACCTCCAAATCATATAGGGAACCTCTAAATGACAAGGAAAAACGATCTCCCGACCTGACCTGGACGAGTTCGTGTTCTCTAAAACCAAAGAATGAATTCTGGGAACAAACGGAGGTTATGAGCAGAATATATTTATTGAGAGAAAGAAAGCGCCTGTCCAAGAGAGGAACAGGAGGGGGGCCCAAGTGGGTAGTTCCCCGGGAAGCTGTCTCTTCCAGGGACTTTTACCACGTGGGGCTAAGGTGAAGAGAATAGGAAATGGCTTAGGTGGGCAGAAGGTGGGACAAAACTATGGTCAACCAATGGGATTATAAGCACCATTGCTCAGGTAAAACTGATTAAATCCAGTATCAAATGGGAAAGCAAGTCACGTAGCAAGCGGGCATGAATACGGGACAGGGTCTCTTCCTGTTGGGGGTTGGGCTAGTGACTCACAGGGGCTTTCCAGGTGATTGATACCTATTTAAAATATCAATCCCAGGTGCTACTCTTTTAGCATTAGTTTGGCCTTTAGGTCTCTAGGTCTGGTTCCCAGCAGGAGCATCCGCCCCTCCCACAGTTGTAAGGCATCTTATCTTCTGTGCTGTCTCCTTCGAGGGCCTGGCCTGATTGCCTACAATATTTTTATCTAATGGCTGCCTGCAATACTAGGTGGTCCATTAGGGCTATAGTTCCATCAGGGCTTTCCTCAGTTAGAATTACCTTATTCATAAGCACTGGGTCAGGGTATTAGAATGGAGGTGAGCTGTTGCTGACCTCCATTTTTTTCTGGGCTATTTATTATATTGGAAGGATGAGATGGCTCCCTTCACCAGGTTATATAAGTGGCTATAGTTTAGGGGTGAATTTTTCTTTTTTGAGTTTTGGCCATATAAGAGCTTTTACCTAATTCAGTCCCAAACTCTGAGATCCAGTGTACTGGCTTTGGGAAAAAGATACAGTGTAGCTCTTTCGTGGAGTAATCTAAAAACTTACTTAGATGGCACCTTCATACCTGCATCTTTTAAGTTTTATAATCAATAAACTAAATTCTTTTCTGCAGATAAAGACTAATCTTGGGGCTGGGGAGATGGCTCAGTGGAATAAGTGCTTCCCTGGCAAGCACAAGGGCCTGAATTTAATCCCTGGTTCTGCCCCCCTCCCCAAGACTGAGCTTGCCTCATTGCTATTCTTGATGAATAAATTCCTATTTGCTACTTGACTCTGAGCACTATAATTCGTAAAATGCTCTGCTTACCTCTAAATTGGTCACACAAAGTCCAGTGGGTTGCCCAGAGGTGATTTTGGTTAGTGGTCGTTGTGTTGAGAAGGTCGCGCGTTCTGGCCACGTTGAGCGCCAATTGTAAGAAGCCCCTCCTGGTCCTTGGCTTGATCCAAAATCTGTATTTGTAATCCCCAAAATATGGTATTGGAAGCCCACCAAGTTAATTCTAATCTACCATTCCTAATATAACACAAGGCAAAAATAAAGACACTAAAGCATATTTATGATTATGGGGAGCCAAGGGGTCCTAAGTCCAGCCACACAGATGGCTTTCCAGAACAAAAGGGCTGGTCCAGGACTGACCTGGGTTTTATTTAGTTGGGAAGGAGGCATGGCTTGAGAATGACTGACTGAGAATTGCAGGAAGTAGCTGAGTACTGTGAACTAGGTAGGTAGGTGGCCTGCATTTACCTGTCATGCAGAGAGAAGGATATGCAGAAAAAGTAATTTGCATCAAACTATTGAGATAGTGTCTAATGTTTAGGGGTCCGGTGCTTCAGCTCTGATGTGTAATCTTTCAAGCCCCAGGAAGTCACAGCCTCTGTCTCAAGGCTTGACCCAGCCGACAGTGTGGAGCACTGGCTCTTCATCCTGTCTCCACCTGGTTCATAGCAAAGAGCAGCAGGTGAGGGTTATCAGGGAAACACATGTGCCTGTGCCGTCTTCAGAGACCACCACCAGCACCTCGGCTAGATCAGTATGCATTGGTTAAGGCCAACTGAAAGGATAGAGAAGTCCTAGCCAGCTCTGTACCTATCAATACGAGGCAATAGGTCGGGCCCAGCCAAAGTGGAGCGCTGCCCCAGTGGGCCTCCGCAGTGAGTAAGTACCATGCTCTGCTCTCTAAGATAGAAATGTAGCCATGCTCACCTCAAGCTGTGAGAATTGAATAAACACGGTGCACACGTGGCAGCTAAGCGGCTAGCACTGAGTATCTCTTCTGTGATTTAAGAGCACACTCTTCTCCACTGAGTCTCAAATATTCATCCCGAAGTTTGCACTACAGTGCAAAGCTGGGTTATTTCCAGGTATTGGACCAGTGAAGCCCTGGGGACCTGGTGGTGTCACTGAGGATGCCCCCCTATGAATGTCTGTCACCTTCATGTGCAGCTGAACAGGCGCTGACAACTGTTGGGCTGTTCATTTCTCTAAAGTGAAAACACACCCTCTTTGAATTCCCTAAAGTCAAGAAGCCGAGCAGGATGTCAGAATCCCTGTGCTTTGGTGGGAGGCTGAGCAATTTAGTGGGATTTTGGCTCATGAAAAATAAAGGGCCAGGGATGTAGCTTAGTGGCAGAGCACTTATCTAGTGTGCATGTGCAAGGCCCTAGGTTTGATCCTCAGCACTGCAAAAAACAAAACAAATGGCCCAGACACAGCTTAGAGCAAGGTCATGAGTTCGGGCCCTCATACAGAAAGAAGTCAGCATGTTGCACAGATCCCCTCTGGAGGTTACTCTACGCTGGTGTACACACACACACACACACACACACACACTGGTGTGCGTCAGACACATGGAGATAGTGCTGAACCCGGAAGGAATCGTGCTTGCACACACCCTGCAGATAGGCAGCAGCTGTGGCTCCTTGGGTGTTGGCCCCGCTGCAGGGCTGCTCTCCCTCAGGGGCACTGCGTTCCTAGGACCAGCCTCAGAGAGTGACACTAAAAACCAGAGACCAGCGAGAGGCAGGTTGGGACTTTGCCTGGTGATACCATCTCCCTCCTGATCTCTCCACTGGGCTGTTTGGCCTGGATCTCAGCTGGACCTTTTTTGCCCAATCCTACCTTCACAGGTGTAGTGTTGAGCCCTGGCAAACAGCTTGCACCTCAAAATTTCCTCTCAACATCTACTTACGTGGAACCCAAGGCTCACACAGGGGCACCACGGGTTTTCTTCCTTGGACGCCTGGCCTGCGTCTCAGTCAGCTGGCTTCTGCACCAGAATGGGAGACGATAACCTGTGTGTATAGAATCACAAACTGGTTTTGTAGCTTTTCAGTTGTGAACCACGCGATATTTTTACAGTCTCTAGAACAGTGGCTTGAGGCTGGGTATGTGGCACCCACCAGCACTCTGGGAGGCTGAGGCAGGAAGATCAGTTTGAGCTCAGCTTGGGCAATTTAGTGAGAGCCTTTCACAAATGAGTACTGGTAAAGGGGCTTGGGTATGAGCTGTGTCAAGGTCCTGGGTTCAATCCCCAGTAAGCCCTTCCACATGAACTAGCTTCTAGGTTTTCTGCCTAGCTAATTTGTTACCAAATTGAGTCTCAGGGTTGCCACTGCTTTTGGACAGTTATCCACATTACACTCTACACGGCTGCCTCATGCCCCTCCCCCGGCTTCCTAGCCTAATAGGTCGGGCCAGCCTCATAAACAACTAAAGTATTTGTCTAGACAGCCATGAATTAAGTTACACTTGAGGTACCTTTTCCTTCATAAATTGCCTATCTTGTTTTTTTTCCGATTTGTGTTTGATCAAGTTGTCTGCCATCTAAGGCAGTGGTGGTCCCCATTATACACGGTGTATTTTGTATAGTCCTCACTGGATATGTCACCTGGCCCACTGCCAACCTAGGTAGTTTGCATAGGAGCACTGCCTGGGTCGCAGTATCCCGAGCTACTGAGCGGGTTAAACCGACACCTGTCCAGACACGCCCAGCAAGGGAAGTTTTGCTAAGAAACCAACTACACACACCCGGTTGCTACTTAAACCCTAGGACAACAAAAGCCATTGATCCTAGATAGTGAGTTACTCCCCAGGTCGCTTAACCGAATCATTTACTCGAGTAATCCGCAGACTCCGTGTTTTGGCGGCCTTGAGACCTTTTAAGAGTTGGGTGTCTCGAGCTCACCCGCTACTCCTGCGATCTGAGCCATTTCCGGGCACATTAGTTAGCCAGCTCCTGCCTAAAGTCAGGCCGCTCTTAAGAATAAAGCGCAGCAGTGCCGCCACAGCGAACCCCGTGCACAAGCTCCTTCCAGGGCGGCGTGAGTGGCTCTGAAAAGAGCCTTTGGTTCCCAGCCTTGCTCCTTACTTGGCCTTGTGGTGGCTCTCGGTCTTCTTGGGCAGCAGCACGGCCTGGATGTTGGGCAGCACGCCGCCCTGCGCGATGGTGACCTTGCCCAGCAGCTTGTTGAGCTCCTCGTCGTTGCGGATGGCCAGCTGCAGGTGTCGCGGGATGATGCGCGTCTTCTTGTTGTCGCGCGCCGCGTTGCCCGCCAGCTCCAGGATCTCGGCCGTGAGGTACTCGAGCACGGCCGCCAGGTAGACCGGGGCGCCGGCGCCCACGCGCTCGGCGTAGTTGCCCTTGCGCAGCAGGCGGTGCACGCGGCCCACGGGGAACTGCAGCCCGGCGCGGGACGAGCGCGTCTTGGCCTTGGCGCGAGCCTTGCCGCCCTGCTTGCCGCGTCCAGACATCACAGAAGCAAACGGTAAGTCACAAGCAGCTACCTAAATGAAAGAGAATCTGGGACAATTTTTATAGCCATTCTTGGGCGCGAAAAAGGAAGACTTGTCACTGGCTAAAATTGTAGCTTCCTTTTAACCAATAGAAATAGGACTTCAATATTTATACATTTTTGATTGGGTAAAGATCTGTGACGTTACTCAAAGTAACTACCAATGAGGTACGCGTCTTGACACTCCACTAATTTGCATGCCACTTTCTATATCAGCAGAACTTCTCCAGTTACCCGGTGTTTACGTGGCTGGTTGTAGGACTAGGTGCTTTTTACCAGTATGCCGGAGCCCGCGAAGTCGGTCCCTGCCGGGAAGAAGGGGTCAAAGAAAGTGGTGACTAAGGCGCAGAAAAAAGATGGCAAGAAGCGCAAGCGCAGCCGCAAGGAGAGCTACGCGGTGTACGTGTACAAGGTGCTAAAGCAGGTGCACCCCGACACGGGCATCTCGTCCAAGGCCATGGGCATCATGAACTCTTTCGTCAACGACATCTTCGAGCGCATCGCGGGCGAGGCGTCGCGCCTGGCGCACTACAACAAGCGCTCGACCATCACGTCGCGGGAGATCCAGACGGCCGTGCGGCTGCTGCTGCCCGGGGAGCTGGCCAAGCACGCGGTGTCGGAGGGCACCAAGGCTGTCACCAAGTACACCAGCGCCAAGTAAACCCAGAAAAGGAAGGTCTAACATCTACCCACAAAGGCTCTTTTCAGAGCCACCTAAGGCTGCCAACATTAGAGCTGTTCCACACTGGAATGTTAAATTTAAGCTTGGCTCTTGGGTGTAGAGCTCTGTATGGCAGGGTAAAGCGGGAAGTGCTGGTGTCTAAGGGTGGTGCTTACAAAGTCAGGGGTCTGCAAGGAATCGTAAATATTTGCCGGCTTTTGCAGCAAAATCACCTGAGTGGTGTCGCGTCTCTTGCCTCCCCAGTGCAGCGGTGTACAGTAGCACAGTGCTGTCCCCGGGTATGTGCCTGTAGCTCTAGGCGGCCCGCTGGGGTAAAGTTCCAGGATGGGCGAGCCTATTTAGTTGGCTGAACTTGGAAATTGAGCTCAGCTGGCTTGTGTTTTCTTTCCCGTTTCCATCTGGGCCTGGAACAGGCTGTAGGGCCAGGCCTTTCTCGCCAGCAGAGAAACGAAGGAGGGGTCAAGCCTCCTGTGGCCAGTTAAGAAAGGCATCTTCAGTGATCTCAGCTTCCTCAGTGACAAGCACAGCAAAACTCAGAGACATTAGTGGAAGAGCTATTTTGGTTTTCAGACTGGCCTTGAACTCACTGTAGTCTTAGCTAACCTCAAACTCAGCGATCCTCCAGGGTCAGCCTCCCAGGGCTGGGATTACAGAATGCCCCACCACACCTGGCCTTGAGGAAATCCCGAGTTTAGAGAGAAGGTGGAATAGGACTAGACCCTGCACGGGGACCAGTTTGCAGGCGGTGCTGCACACAGAGGGATCAGAGCAGGCAGCATGAGGAATTTACTTTTTGGCCAAAAGCTACAAGGACTGAAGATGCCTGCAGCGAACTGACCTTTGGGTGAAAGGAAGGGCTAAGGAGTCTTTAGCTGGTTTGTGACCTTGGCGGGTTTTTAGCAGCGCAGGCGAGTTTCATCAGAAAAGTGATTAATGCTGCATGTGTGTACGCACATGTTTCTATGCGTTTTTCCACTTTCTGGTCCACTCTTCTGGACATAGGCAGTACATCTGTGTAATGAGTTGCTTGTCCTTGGAGAAATGTGAGGCCAGCAGCGCCTGCCTTCCCTCTTCTGTTTTATCCTGCCTGCAGTTGGTTGATTACACTATACCTGAAATAACAAGTGTTCATCAATGTATGTCCTACGGCCCATGTGATGTGTTAGCTCATTTATACCGATTAGGAGGTAGATACTACTAGGCACATTTTTGAATGCTGAAAGTAACATACAAGTGAGAGGAAGATATGTTTTATTTTCTGTTCTGGTTTGAGGCTAGTTGTCCCCTTAAAGCCTCATGCAGTGATCGGGTGACTTCTAGAGTTTGTCATTAATTCATGATCCAGTGCCGGGATTATGGGTGTGCGTTCTCCACCCGGCCTGGAGTGGATGCCTGGATGCAGCATAAGGGAGAGGGACTTGTTCTGTGCAGCTGCTGTAGCTGCTACTCCTCCCATTTGCTCTTGCTGTTTTGCTGTTTTCCACCAGCATGAACTGCTGCCCTCTGCCATGAGCTGCCCTGCCTTGGAGCCAGCTGAGTATGGGTTGAAGCCTCCACTGACTGTGAGCTATGTAAACGTTTACTTCCTTAATTTTGGGTGTTGGGTATTGTCTCAGCAATTAGAGAAGAATAACTGAGGCACTTTCCAAAGGTGAAAGATCGAGGGCCTAAGCATTGGGAGAGGAAATAATAGGAAGAGAAGAGGTGGCATAATTCAAGCTTTCTAGAGAGTGGCTTCCCAAGCAAGATGTCTTTCCTTCATCTGTCAGCCCCTGATAATTTTAGCTAGATAGCAAAGTTGGTATATTCAAAGCTAGTGGGAGAAAAGTGTGCCAGTGGTACCCCTCCTGTTCAGATTTCATGGCAAACAGTGAGAAATGTAATCCACTTCATCACTTCCGAGCATGTTTCCTGCAGTACTGTTCTAGACTCCAGCCAAGCACGACTTGGGTGATCTGCCTAAAATAGGCCTCCAGTGGTGCTGAACTGCTCCATTAGGTACAGTGTGCTGTTGAGATTTTTGTCCTGAAACTGATAACGGTGTGTTGCTGCCATTAATTTGAGGCTTATAAATCATCCTGGTAGATAGCATGCATCACCTTGGTTTTTTTATTTTTTATTTTATTATTGCTTTCATGTCTTTTTGCCCTTGTTTGAAAGTTCGATGTGTTTTAATACAAAAAACCTGGTGGACTCTTCTCATTCCTTTCTCCTGGGTCTCATTTTGTTCCTCTGGGCTGGCATAGAATTTGACAGCTGGAAGAAATCAGTCAAGCTTAATGGCCTTTCACAAGCAGGAAGCTGGATCCCCAGAGCTGCTTTTGCTCACAGTACTGGAGGCAGAGCAAGAGGCAGAGCTGCCTGCTGGTGTGGGATCCTGCTGTCAGTGAGCTTGGAACACAAAACTGAAAGGGGCCGGGGAGATGGCTCAGTAGAATAAGTGCTTGCCTGGCAAGTGCAAGGGCCTGAGTTCAATCCTCGGTTTCAGAGAATGGCAAAGACCCCGGCTTGAGCAGCTGGAGGAGCGCGCTGGGGCTGGCGGAGGCCAGAGGCTCCATTCGGGAAGAGTGGAGGGGGGGCCGGGTCAGATCTCAGGAGGCTTCCCGGCTCCTTGAGGTTCGAGGGGCAGCAGTTGCTCCCCTAGACAGCTCTGGGGCGTGGCTTCCCTCCCCTGGGCTCTGCTTTCCCTGGATGGAAGGTTCAGGGCAGTTGGGAGCACAGCTGAGCGTCCCGAATGCCGGGTAGTCCCTCTCAGAGATGAGGCTGTGTGAATTCAAGGCTAAGCAGCCTTATCTTTCCGTGTTTTAGACACACTTGGTAATATTAGTGCTGCCTGGCACGCGGCGCTGAAACCGAGTTTGATTCCGAGTAGGACCAAAGACAGACAACCCGATGTTTAAGTGCCTGACTGTCTCAGGAGAAAATACCAATAGCACTTCAATGAGTACCAGGCTGGGAGCGAAGGGCCGCCACAGCCCGAGCGTCCTCTCACTGGTCCCCTGTACACCCTTCTCTTTTACTGTCACAACATGCATGTCCTTCTCTCCCCTTTAGCCATATTATAATAACTTGATTTAATTTTGAGTAAAATACTTTTCTTTGAATTTTTATAATCTTTTAAATTATTCAAAACGGTGCCAGAAGAATTCATTTTCCCACCGCTGTTGGCGCTTTAGAACGCGTGGGGGACCCGGATGCGCAGGGATGCGCTCTCGCGGCCGCGCAGCGCTCTGGGTCACACCTGAGCGGAAGGCTCTGCGCGGAGGATGGCAGAGCTGGGCTCTAGGCGGACCCTCGGTGACGCTTAGCTCGCACGTGCTCGGGTGGGCCGCTGGGCACGGCCAGGCCAGGCCTCTCCATCCGGAGCAGGAGAGTGCTTTCCAGGTGAGACTTGGAGGCTTGCTCCGCTGGCGTGGCCTAGCACGCCCCACGCCGGCTTGCCACAGTGCAAGTCCTCAAGTCTAGAAGATGCAGAGGCGAGGTGTAACACCGGCGTCCACGGAGCCTTCTCCAGGGCATCCGAGCGCTGCCAGAAGAGGCGATGACCTCTGTCCGCAGGAATACAAGCAGAGGAAAAGCAAAAATGGTTCTTTCTTGTATTTTTTTTTCTTCCAGTTTCTCCTGCTTCCCTGAAGGAGGACACAGGGACCTTAAAGCCCAAGGCCAATTTGGTAGTCTAAGCCAAGCCCCTCCACAGAAAAATCCACGCACTTACTAAGGCAACCACTCACCTTCCCTTTGGGTACTGGGATTGAACCCAGTACATTCACTATTTCTATCAATTTATGTTCAGAAGGAGCCTTGCTGAGTCTTGCGGCTTCCCAGGTTTGAGGAAGTCCTGATCCTCCTGCCTCAGCTCCCCAGAGTTCTGGAGCCCGAGGGAGGCATGTGTACTGTGGCCCACTCAGAACTACATTTTAAAGAACAGACCAAACTCTTCTATTTGACCCAATACATCAAAAATTTTGCCTTGCCATGTACACCATACAAAATGTATTAAATGAGGACCTTGGATTTTGGTTTTCATTTGAAGCTTTCAAATTCCAGTATGCATTTTACACTTTTACAGTTCATCAAAATTCTACATTGTCTCTATTTTCTTGAGTTTTTTTTTTCATAAAGAAGCAGTTAATGCTTTAATTTGTTTCATCTCCTTTTTTCAATTGTTTGTACTTTTTCTCTTCTTAATTTCTTTTTTTTTTTCCCATAATTTTATTGATCTTGAGGTTTTTTTTGGGACAGGATCTTGCTATGTAACCTACACTGGTCTTGAACTCGCTATGCAGCCC